ACCACCACTGCCTGGCTTCATAACTCTTAACTACTGAGTTTACAGTACATGGCATGAATCTCCTCCTGTGCAGCAGGCCTTAAATTCAATCTAAGAGCAGCTTATTACTCCCATAACAGTTGTGCCAGTGTTGACTCAGTGGGCACATTTTTGCATGGCAGGTTGGCATTGGAGTTTGCAGGGTTCGCAGTTCACACAGCCTCTGTGGTTGCCTATGCTGAGCCTGCACAATGGATCAGTGACAGCCTCAGGAGGTCCTGATCCTTCCGGTTAAACTACTGTCACCTGGTAGATTCTGGAGAAGGGACTGTCATTGCCTTCACCTGTGTTCCCAACAGAGCATCTGCCAGGTTACAAATGACAGTTCCGAATCTGAGGCCACATAGATGGCCCATGTTGAAATCAGTGTGTAGACTGAAGCCTTTCTCTGTCCTGCCCAGCCCATGGTCCTGCAGCCACTTATAAAATAACCACTCAGAGGCTTAATATTAATTACCAACTCTTTGATCTATGGCTCTCAGGCTTATTACTAACTAGCTCACTCATCTTAAATTAACCCATTTCTATTAATCTATATTTTGCCACATGGCCATAGCATTACCTGTCTGCTGGGATCTTGTTCCTTGGGCAGCTGGATGGCGTCTCCCCCAACTCTGTCTTCCTTCTCCCTATATCTTTCCTTGGATTTCCTGCCTGCCTAAAACCTGTTTTGCCATAGGCCAGAGCAGTTTCTTTATTAACCAATGATAACAATACATATTCATAGCATACAGGAAGACCATCCCACAGCACTTCTCTCCTTTTCTGTCTAATCAAAAAGGAAGGTTTCATTTTAATATAGAAAAATTACATATAATAAAACAGTTATCAAGCTAGGACTACAGTTACAATATCAAGTCTATTTGTATTTGGCAAAGTTAGAGAAAATATTATGTCATCTAACCTATTTTTGTGGGTCTAAAGTTTCATATCTAATTTATCTTTTATCATAACCAAGGAAAATTATAACTATCTAGTCTTCAACTCCATCAAAGACTCCAGAAGAATATTATATTATCTGAGTAAGCAGGAAGTGCATTACAAGCATCTTCCAAAATTCTAGAAATGACAGAAACATCTGGCTGCCTGGACAGTCACCCAAAGTTTCTCTGTAACATTGGGGCATCTATCTTCAGCCTACAGGCCTAGAGTCTCTGGCATATTTTTCAGTGAAGCAGGAAATTTGAAAGACTGTTCTGCCTATTGGCAAAGTTCATCAGTTGCTTTTCTCTGTGTCCTACAGAATGAATATCTGGCAGTTTCTTCTGTGAAGCAGGAACCTGAAGGACCATCTTGCCTTGTTTTGGCAAAGTTCAGTGGTCATTTTCTTATGGGTCCTGCATGTCCAGTTTATACAATGTGCTGACAAGCATGCCAGGCAAGAGCAGTTTCTTGCTTAAATGGCTAGCCTTTTCCATATTGTAAGCAAACTCATAAGGAGTTTCTTTGATGCCCATCATCCTCTTTGAAGTAATTGGTGCTGCCAGGGACAGAAAAGTCCAAGTTCTTAAAACATTTTAAATGTCATATTATGTAGGTCTTTGAAGTGTTTGAAGATTACCTATCCATCTGACATATATCTCTGTACATCTAGAAATCCTAACTATCATGACTGTAAGTTTAACTATTATAGATGACTATTAATTTGTATTTTTAACGATACATTACATTTTTAAATGAGTTGAATAAACATAATACCTTTAAACAAGGGTAGAAATATACATATAACAAAATTGACCATAAATTTGTATCAATAAACCAAATCCATATCAATATAAAGTATTTTGAGATTAACAGTTGTTTTTGGATCAAAGGAGATTCAATAAGATTCTATGTTTTTTTTATCATTTCTATATCCTATCCTCCTTTTTTCTTTAGAAAGAGATTGCATTTATAATCAATCCTCTTTAAACAATAACAAACATTTATAAACAATATTTTGGGAATTTGGGCATAGCTTTTCACACTACTTCTGTTGGTTGGGGACACTGACAATCTTATGGGGATCCTGAGAAAATGTAGAATTATGGTCAAGTCTTGACTGTAGTAGTCTGTGAGGCTGCATCATCTCCACCAGTTGCCTTGAAGCTGTTCTGGATGTTGGATCATCTGGAGACCTCTCAGGGAGGTCTTCCTTGATGGAACCATATTAACCTGGAAGGAATCTACAGGTTCTCATCTTCTATGGAAACAAAAGCAGAACCTCTTTTTCAAAGAAACATATCCTTAGACTCAAATTTTGAAGTCAAGATACCTTTAAGATACATATGTTGGTTTAACTTAGCAGCCCCTACAATCAAATGTCTCTCTGTAGTTAAAAAAAAAAAATCCCAAATACAACACAATAATATACAATATCCAGACTCTCTGTGTATTTTCCATCTTTATGTGGCTTTTTTTATATTCTATTTCTTTTTTAAGAACTTTCTCTACCCTTTTTCTTTTTGCTCCCAAGCCTACGTATATTTTAAACATATTGTAACCCATTTAGAGATTTTTTTTTCTATCTGAATCTGTTTTATTGTGCATCTTTAATCCTTTTGTGACCAGGAGAGTTTTAAAACTGCTAAGCTGTGTGGCTAGGACAAAAGCATGGCTTTGGCTGCTGGTTCCGCCCTGCTTGGCTTTTCAACATGGTACAGGTACTAATGAGTCACACTTACCTCCCCAATTCTGGGAAGCAGTACTAAGGAGCATGTAGCTGTGTTTTTAAGCCCTAGGCTGTGTTCTCAGTCCTGCAGTCAGCGACTGGGAGAAGCCCCTCTGTACCGAGGCTTGTGGGAGAGACTGCATAAATCTGCCATACCACTTAGCTCATGGCGGCCGGCAGCCAGCTCCATCTCACAGGCGGCTGTCAGGAGATGCATCTCTGCACTGCTGCTGGCATGGGATTGTGAGACCAGGAAGCCCAGTGTGGCTCCGTTTCTGTGCATTCAGAATCTTTTTTAAAGCTTTCTCGGGTCTATGTGGATCAATGCCTCACGGTGGGCACCAAATGTAGACGGAAGTTTTCCTGTGTCCCATAGCCGTTCAGTCCCAAATAAACACACAGAAGCTTATATTTATTGAAAGCTATTTGGTCTATGGCCCAGGCTTATTACTAACTAGCCCACTCATCTTAAACTAACCCATTTCTATTCATCTGTGTTTTGCCACGTACATGGCCATCTTGTGCTTGGGCAGCAGGATGGCGTCTCCCAGACTCTGTCTTCCTTCTCCCTGTATCTTTCCTTGGATTTCCTGCCTGGCTATATCCTGTCTTGCCATAGGCCAGAGGAGCTTCTTTATTAACCAATGGTAGCAACACATATTTATAGCATACAAAAAGACCATCCCAACAGTATCAGTGTGTCACAAAAAAAAAAAAAAAAAAAAGACAGGAATGTGGGGAGGGGATCTTCAGAGAGGATGGAGAGGACAGAAGTGGAAGGAAAATTAAAAAGGGTGGCTAATGTGGGATTTAACAAGGCAATTCCACGTAGTTAAAAAAGAGGTTTATTTTGGGGTAACTTACAGCCCGTAAAGGGGTTGGTTACAGGATCTAGAGGAGGTGAGGTGCACTCCAGTGGGGTTCTCTGGAGAACTCTGACTCGGTCTGCCATCTAGCATCCAACATCACAAGGAACCAAGAGGCCCGGCACATCCGGATCTCAGGTCTTAAGGGCCCCTGCCTTGGCCCCGCCCCAGGGGCAAGTCATAGATAGGCGTGGCAATTACCAGAAGCCTCACTAGGGGTAGTACTTCCAGGTCAAAGCTGGAACAGCTCCCACTACAGGTGGCAGTGAGAGTACACAGGATGCATTATACACACACGTATGAAATTGTCAATGAATAAATGTAATCAAGGTAAAGAATAAACACCAGTAACGATCATTTTAGAAGTAAAGGCCTAAGGATAATAGCATGAGTGAAGCCCTACATCTAATCCCCAGTATCAAAAAGGGAAAAGAGGGAAGGGGAGGACAGGGGAGAGGGAAGCGGGGAGGAAGGGCAGGAGAAGAAGAGGGGAGGGAAAAGAGGAAGACAGAGGAGAGGGAAAGGGAAGGAGGAGGGAAAATACATGAGCAGTTTCTGGTCTGGATGGGACACCAGGTTTGACCCACAGTGGCTCATGCTTATGTTCTACCTGAAATATAGTCCATTTCTACTGGAATTTAGTTCTGTCTGCCATTATCTACATCTCAACTTTGATCCCTATAAAAAGAAACACAAGAAATATTTGAATATGATGGGAAGAGAAAGCCTCTTTGTGGCCAGTGCACAGAGTATGTGGGAGAATTTCTTTATAGGTATTCATAAACCCAACATAAAAACATCTGCCCTGTACCTTCCAGACCTATAATAACTTCACAGAGCTTAGTGTATTCATTCTTCAACACAGACATATAAAAAGAAGTCCGTGAACTGACATTTTCAGAGTTCAGAAACCATTGCTTTTCTACTAGAGTTTGCCTCTTACAAATGACCAGGTTTTATTCCTAACATAGTGTGCGTGTGTGTGTGTGTGTGTGTGTGTGTGTGTGTGTGTGTGTGTGTGTGTGTGTGTGTGTGTGTGTGTGTGTGTGTGTGTGTGTGAAATGGGGCAGGAGTTAATATCAGGTGTCTTCTTTAGTAGCTCACTACCTTATTTCTGCCACCTTAGTTTGAGACAAGATTTCTCGCTGAACCTGATTCAGCATGACTCACTGGCCACCAGGCCCCAGGGACATGCCCATCTGCCTTTCCAGAACTGGGATTACAGGCACCAGTTGCCAAGCCTGGCTTTTTATGGACTTAGAATCACCATGGAAACACACCTTCAGGTATATCTGTGAGGGTGTTTCCAGAGAGCTTTAGCAGAGTGGGGGGAAAAAAACCCACCCCGCCCTGAATGTGGGCAGAAGCATCCTATAGGCTGGGGTCCTGACCTGCATAAAAAGGAAGTGAGCTGAACACCCACATTCTTCTATCTCTGCTTCCAGCCGCCTCATGCTCCTGCGACCATGCCTTCCCCGCCATGATGGACTGCATCCTTGAACTGTGAGCCACGAGAAACCTTTTCTTCCTGAAGTCGCGTCTCTCGGGGTTTGTGTCACAGCCATGAAGAAAGAACTGCTGTAGCTTTGTGATGTCCGAAGCAGCAAACACCACTTAAAAGACAGACAATGTTCACCGTTCCACCAAGTTCCCGTCTGCACCCTTGTGAGAAACCGGCTCTCTCTAAACTCCATTTCCAGAAACACACTGACTTGGTTCACATATAAATGAAATTATGCAATATGTACTTTTTCTTTCCCTCAAAACAACTATTTTGATATTAATTCATGTTATAGCATATAACAGTAATTCGTTCTTTGTTCTGTGATTAAAAGGAATATTCAATTACCTGGAGACATTCCAGTTTCTTTACCAAGACCTAATTTTTTAATGTATTTTTTTTATATACTGCTGGGATTGAAGCTGAAGGCCACATGTGTGCTTGGCAAATGCTCTACCACTGAGTTATATTCCTGTTCCCGTTATCATTTAAGACAGGGTCTCACTGAGTTGCTAAAGGTTGCCTGGACATTCAGATAGGCCTTGAATTTGTGATCCTCCTCCCTCAGCCTCTGAAGTAACTAAAGTTAGAGACCTGTAGTAGCAGGGCCCTGCCTCTAGGGGTTAGGGACCTTCGAGATTTCTGTTTTACTCTTAGGAGTAAAACTGCTAAGAGCATTCATGGACAAGCCTTTTTTGTGTTCTAAATTTTTTATTACATCTTACTTGCTGTGTGTGTGTGTGTGTGTGTGTGTGTGTGTGTGTGTGTGTGTG